GAAAATCGCTCGTTGATACCGTGGGGGTTAAGAGTGCCGATATGAAAGATAAATTTTTGTTCTGCTGCAGTTTTGCTGCATTCCAAACTGCCTAGATGAAGGGAAAGGCCGCAAATTGCCATATGCTGCTTAGAGTAATTAGGGCGATTAAAGTGACTAACTGGTTTGGATGCGTCCTTGTCATTTCTTTCTATGTCGCGCAGGTGTTCTCGGAATCCGTGACTTAGTCGTCTCCCTTTAAAGAAACAAGAAGCTTACCTCAATTAGATATTTGAAAAAAGGGGACCTCAAGCTTCTTGATCTATAATTTTCTCATGACCACAAGAAATAATTCGGCTGAATTCGCGGCCATAAAAGAAGTGGGTAAATAATGAATGAAAAAGTTAAGATGGAGGGGGCTAACGACGTAACATCTTACACTTTTCACCGTTTCGTTCCTAAGCCCAGACAGGTGCGATAAAAATAGAACAAAAATTCAGTAATTTTTACAATAACTATGCATCTGTAATCTGCATTAATTTTGAAATTGTGGTTTTGTTTTTAGTTTGCCTGAGCTGATAACAATTCATGGCGTCCCCATGTCGGTCTACTTTTGATATCCTATTACTGAAGGTTTATTTGAGTGAAAATATTTTTCCTTTACGTTGGGAAATTGACCTATCACAAACGCAGTTTTCATTTTCCTCAACTACTTATTAAAATTCGCGCACAAAAACCCGGCTTTGTTTCCCTCTTTCGTGTGAAAAACATCACAGCTTTCTGGCATTTTACATAGTCAGACGCTTGTGATAAATTTTTACTCTCTGCCATTACTATTCAAAAACTAAGGCTTAACTGATCTTGACTTGAAGGGTGCTGTTAAGACGAAATATTCCTCGCTGTAATTAAGGATAACCTGCAAAAAAGTGGAAACGACAGCAGGATGATGGCGACAACAAATATAACGGGAAGTGGAACATATACGCAAACATTTGAAATATTGTCATGCTCCCCGGTTCGGGTGGGTGAGTTAAAACAAAAGTTCATTTCATTTTCAGCAGTCAACATTCTCCTCTCCATCACAGCAATTCTAGGGAATTCGCTTATCCTTGTTGCCCTTCACAAGGAATCTTCCCTCAATCCGCCATCCAAACTCTTGTATCGTTGCCTGGCAACAACAGATCTGTTGGTTGGTCTTGTTAGCCAGCCTCTCCATGCTGCATATTGTATATCCGTGGTTCTAGAACACTGGAGTATTTGTCGATACGCAAGGGACGCAGGGTACATGGCAAGCTATGCATTATGTGGAGTGTCTTTGTTGACGTTGACAGCCATAAGCGTGGACCGACTTCTCGCCATGTTGTTGCGACTGAGATATAAAGAGATTGTGACTTTGAGACGCACGTATATCATTTTAGCTATCGTTTGGGTTGTATGTCTAGTCGCTGGTTTATTCTCTCATCTCAATTACCGCATAGCCCTTTGGTACAGCTTTATAATCATACCATCTTGCCTGATAATCTCAATCGCCTCGTACATAAGGATTTTCCGCGCTCTCGGTCATCATCAGGCTCAAATACAAGATCATGCTCGACAACAGCCGAGCCAAGCAAATGTAATGAACATGGCGCGATATAGAAAGGCAGTGTACAGTGCATTGTGGGTGCAGTTAGCTTTAGTTGTCTGTTATATACCAGAACTTACAGTGAAAATTGTGATATCTCTTTGTACAAAGCGATGTTCGAATTTCTTTATAATCCAGGGAATGACAATTCTCTTACTGTTCTTTAACTCTACTTTAAACCCGTTCCTTTACTGCTGGAGGATAAGTGAATTGAGACGAGCAGTAAAGCAGACAATCAGACAAGGAATCTGCTATACAGAGAGGTAGAGCTATTTTGACGTTGGCATATACTGTTTCATGTATAGCTCATTTGAAAAATTGCAGTTGTTTGGATAGAGGGGAAGATATGCCATATCATGTTGAGAAGAGTAAGGAAACCTAAAAAGAGCTACTTCTAAATGGTACATTGTATTCGAATTATCTAACGGACAACTAAGAGGTGAAAAATAGCAGTTAAGTGACAATAACAAAACAATAACATGTCGCCAATTTACCCATTTCTAATGAAATAGCGAAGGCTATCAATTATTTTGGAATCAGCGCGCGCTCAGGATTTTTCTTTGCGTCACATGAAGACATTCTGGAAACTGTCTTCGAATGATTGATGGTAGCAGGAACACAAAAAGCGGTTTTTCCCTCGCGTGAATGAGACGGTTTACTTTCTACAGTCCATTAGGTTAATGCTACATTGTACACTTCATTTTCTTAGTTATATCTCAGTTTATAACGATAACAGCTTAATTTCATGTATTTCACCAGCAAATGTCTACACCTGACATTTCACTGACTCTTTGTAATTGAGATCTGCATGTTTTTTTTTATCATTATCAAAATTTGCCCTCAAGCCGTTGGGACTGAGGTACAAAGAGATTGTAACTTTAAGGCGCACATATGTCGTTTCAGCTATCTTTTGGGCTGTATCTCTAGTCTCTGGTTTATTCTTTCATCTCAATTACCGTATAGCTCTAGTAATCTCAATCGCCTGGTACACAAAGATTTTCCACCACCGCAAGGATTATTTCCGCGCTTCAATTTCATCAGATGGTCAAAAAATTATTCATGTCATCACAGGCGGCCCAAGCTCGCGTCTCGAGAAAAAGCCAACGATTAATTCATGAACGCGTCACGCGTTGTGTGATTCGGTGTTAAGTTACGAGACGAACCGTTGAAAATTTGAACACGTTATAAAGAATAGTATGGGGAACGGAATATTGTCGATTTACAACGGTAAATATTTCGAAATATGAATATTTTACGCGTAAAATCAATAACACTTACTCTCGCATCATGTGTGTCTGTTGTAACTTCTGGCGATTTCTTCCTTTTTAGGCTTGCTTTACCATCACTGTTAATCCTGTCAAAATACGAAGTCAAGGCTGCACACTC